AGCTCTTTTAGAAAATGCCAGCCTGAGTGAGTACTGCTAAGGAGGAATGAAGAAAGGCATTCTCATAATTAATCTGTATAGACCCAGCTTCCCAGTATGGCAGGAGCAGTGAGAATAAAGGGACAGAAATCTCACAAGGATGAAAATTTAGTAGTAACCAGTCAAGGGCCACTCTTGCAGCCATTCACTCTAACCAGGACTGCCTGACCTAATTCCTCATCTCTCGGGCGTTATGTGGACCATGTGTTTGGGCTCTTTTCCCCTTATGGAGGCTGATGGAGGTGGGGCTGACAGGAGTACAACTAGGGAACTAGTTGTAGGAACTAATCCTACTAGGAGTAGGATTAGTAGGAACTGTGACAAAAGCCTGAGACTGGCTTTTGTCAGTTTGCTCATTTCCTCCTTAACAGGACAAACAGGCTGTATTACTTTTCTAGGCAGGTTTGAAAGCTTACGAATTCTTTCCGTGCACTTGCTTAAGACCAGGAGCCCGAAGCTCTCTAACTGCAGCTGTCTGTTCCCAGTGCTTCAGGTGCCACGACTTGGCCCCTGCACTTTGAAGGCATCACCTCTCCCACCCTGTCACTTCCACTTGGTCACTTCTCAGTACCCCACTGGTTTGCTTTCTTTGCTGTGGTTTCACCTCCATGGTTCTAGAAAAGTGTGACAATGAGCCATCTGGGTGAAAATCCAGTGAGAAAACGGAGATGGAATGGATGGAGGAAAATGATTTAGTTCACTCTGATCCCTTGTCTTCTGTTGGGATCCAAATATTCTCCCCTCTTTTATGGAAGAGAAAGAGAAAGAAGAAGAAAGCCAGTCAGTCTGGTGTTGCCAAGGTATTTTTTAAAATTCCCCCAACAGCCTCATTGCTGCCTTCTAGTGAAAGTTTTAGAATTGAAAAAAGACCATTTACAGGGAGGACCTAAGGGGAAAAGTAGAAACTGACTTTACACAGACCCCCAAACTTTTTCTGAGCGAGTGTCTGCCTCTCTGTTTCTGATTAGATATATTTGTGATCACGGGTATTCCTTGGCCACAAGGCAAATACAGAGCCCGCACAGACTCCACTGATGGAGGTCCACTGTTCTTTGGGTACTCACAATTGAGTTGGGAATATAAAGCCCATAGAACTTCTAATTCTCTTTCAATTTATTTTTCCTTCACTCTTCACTCACAGACTACTCTCTCTCCTAAATCTTGGTATTTTTTCACTTTTAGATCAAAATGTACAAGAACAAATAGATAACATTCTATCAATTCAAACATAAGGTCTGTGGACACTAAAATTGAACTGTCATTTCAGTATATAAGAAAGAGAACGGCAAGGAAGCTTACTTGGTGAAAGGCTCAACCAGATTTGGGCAAGAGGTGTGAAGGTTGGTTAATAACAGCCATGCTTTGCTGCCTTCCCTTCATGCAGGGCTCATTGTGAAGGTCTCTCCCTGGACAGGAAGGATGTAGGCCAAGAATACTGATCCCCCAAAAACCAAAATTAAAAATCAAATCTCTTCTATTTTGAAGTTTCATTTGGTGAAGAACAAACAAGCGCACAAACAGCCGTTTTCTTCTTAGGTATGGGAACACCTTTTCCCCCCCACAGTTCAACATTCATGGACTTAAGAACTTTCAGATTGGGTTCATTTAATAACACTAAACCGGCGATACTGCACAATTTATGAAACTATATCCCAGGAAGCTTACGCACTTTATTTTTATAAGATATTGCACATACAAGCATACATTTCAATCACGTATGCAAACATTTCTTTTCATGGTAATACTTTATTGCAACTGATTTTTTTTTGCAACTGATTTTTAAACTTAAATTTGAAAAGAATGCATAATAATTTAACTCACCAATATAAAATTTTTTCTCAATCCTTATCCTTTTGTATGTATCAGAATAATTTTCGGGATTAGACTCAACTTTACTCACAACGTTTTTAATGAATAACAGTTTTCATAACTTGCATCCTTATACACATGTTCCTTGTATGACAGTGTGTAATATTTTTGTGTCAAACCTATCATACAAGTTAGTAGGTTAAAAGCTCAGGGATGATACTTTTCTAGTTTATCATCACAGAACAGTATATTTATTATTCTAGTCTATGTAATTGCACCTGCTAGGGTTTTAACGTTGCTCCACCCAGAGTCTGTGAGCAACAGAGTGTTTTTACAGAGCCTGTAAAGGAATATGGTTCTAAAGAAATCAGTCCAATTGTTTTAGCAATACAAGGGCTGATACAAAGTAAACATTTGCAGTGTGGTATCCTAAGAAAGATAGCCACTCCCATACATTTCACTGCTGATTTGCATTTCTATATGTCCTCACGGCAGCTAAAAAAAAAAAAAAAGCAACAATCACTATTCTTTTATTAAAATGAGCAATAAAACGAACCTAACTTTAAACTAAAACTGATGGCTTAAAAACTTTTTATTTAAGTTCAATCAGTGCTTTGTGTCTGCATATGTGTCTGTGTATGAATTGAACGTGAATTGCTGGGAAGACTTAAAGAGTTAACTGATTATAGAATTTCCTACTTGTACACACCACATGGCTAGGTCAAATCCAAACTGCCAAAGAAAGGCAAGCAAGTTCTCCCTGAAGGGCAGGCCAACTGGTGAATGAAATCTCCAGACTGATCGTGTTATAGGTGAGCTGCAGCATACCCAGAAGTCCGGAAAATATGCAAACAAAATCATGCTGCTTGATTTTTGCATTATGTCAAATATAAAGGAAAAAACTGCTCTTACTAAAGAAAATTGTGCTTAACAGCATAAAAATATTCCAATGTAGAGTGATTAGTATGTTTCACTTTTGTCTTTCAGAGAAACGTTTTATACTTCTTACTGATTTTGAACGCCACACCCTATCCGTGCATTTAAGTGAGATACTGTGAGTTAACTGTACCTTAAAGAGATCAGCATATGGATGACTGACGACTAGAACAGAAACAAAACAAACGCCCAGAATTTTAAAAGATCGGAATAGTCAGCCAAGGATGCCTGGGCTAGGTCCTTTTCGAAAGGGTTGCCCAGAACACGCTCAGTCCCTCCTCAGTTATTTTTCACTCCACTACCCCTGACTGGATGCATCACCAGTGCAAGAAAATTCGGGAAGCATCTGCTGCAAGCAACCTCTGGACCTCCAAGGGAAAGGATCCCTTTCTTGCTAGGAAAAGTCTCCAGCGTTTTTTGGGGTGGGTCCCCTCTTCCTCCGAAGCTCGTGAAGCTCCCCTCCCCGTGCGCGCCTCCTTCCTCCTGGCAGAGGCTCCCACAGCTGCTCCGGCCGGCCAGGGTAGCCGGGATGACGCTAGGGGATTGCCAACGCCAAACAGTGCGCAAACTCGGCGGCGCGCTCCGGACTCTCCACTCGCCTAAACCTGCTCTCAAGTGAAAAGGGGTGGGAGGGAGGAGTGTGATGGGGGCGGAGGGGATCCTGTTTAATTCGCGGTCCTGGGGGTGTGGGAGCGGAAGGAGGCTCCGCGGGGCCCTCCTCCCTCCTGGAGTCCTGGGCTCCACCTCCTCCTCGTGGCCCCAGATATACACACACTCAGCCGCGGCTGGACATGCACACCCAGCGCCGGCTCCGGGCGCGTGCACACGCAGGTAGCGACACTCACCTGAGCCCGTGCACAGGGCTCCTGTCGCCTCGGGAGCGGCGGACTGGCGGCCTGGGCCGCGGAGGGGCCCCCTGTGCTGCGGGACTGCGGGAATCGGGAGCAGCCCCAGCGCGGACCTGCGAACTGAGGTGATGGCGCGTCTTCCTTAAATCCCTCCCCCACCCCGCACCTCCGCCCTCTAGGCTTCTCGCCGGGGAAGCCAGGAGAGAGGGGCCCCGGGCGCGGAGCACACGCGGGCGCACGCCCCGAGGCGAGCGCGCCGAGAGGGGCACCGCGGCGCCGGCGCAGGAAACTTGGGCGAAGTTAGTTGCAAGTCCCGGGCGGAGGCCCAGAGGACCGAGGAGGGGACGCGGCCGGTGCTGGGCCCGCCGCGCTGCCCGGAAGCCGGGCCGCGCTCCACGCCCGGTGCGCTCCGGGAGCCCGAGTCGGCCGGAGAGCCAGGAGGGGCTTGGAGCGAGCGGAGCCGGCATGGCTCGAGGGACAGCGAGACGCGGCGCTTCGGCGAGCCACGAGGATTTCCTTTGAGGCCCAGAGATCCTAGGCTCGCTCAAGCCTCATCCAACCTCCTTCCCCGACCGGCAGCTGGAGAGGAAGACCCACGAGGCAGGTCCCCCCGCAAAACCCCAGCTCATTGGGGGGGGGGTTCCCGTCAGCGCGCCCTGCCTGCGCCGAGTGAGGAAGACCGGCTGGTGCTGCAGTATTTGTATTTATATCCATTGCTGCGCTCTGCGTTCCCTTGGTGCGCCCGGACCCTCCTCCGTCTCCCCCCTCCTCTTCCTCCTCCGGGGCCACCTCCCCTCCTCCCCCCACCCCCATCTGCTACTGTCAAATGAGAAAGTCACCGAGGAGAACCCAAACACTCCAGCCGCCGAGAGCACCCTTTGGCACTTGGCAGCGCGCGGCGGCTGACTCCTCTGCTCAACCTGGTGGAGCCTCCGCGACGCAAGTTTCCCGGCTGCTGTGCCTTTAACAGAGAAAAGACAGAGGACGGGGAGAGCGCTGCCCGGTGGCGGCTACCTGCGGGGAGTTCGCGAGCGAACGCAACTGGGGAGGAAGGACAAAAAGAAAGCAAAGGGCAGACTGCCCCCGTGGGGTGGGGACACCGCCGAGAAGTTATCGCGCCCCGGAGAGGATTTTCCCGAGCGCCTGGCCGGAGAGAGCAGGGCGGCCAGGGGAGCGGCGCGGCCCGGGGCTTGTCCCCCGGCCCCCTCCTCCCGGGCGGGAGCGACGCCGGGGTGCGAAGTGGGGCGCGGCGAGCGCGGCGGGCCGATAGGGTCCCCGCGGACGGCCAACATTGATTTCCTCCGGGCCGACAGCGACGGCGCGGGCGGCGGCGGCGGCGGCGGGCTGCAGCCGCGGCACGGCGAGAGCATGTCCAAGCCGGTGGACCACGTCAAGCGGCCCATGAATGCCTTCATGGTCTGGTCGCGGGCTCAGCGGCGCAAGATGGCCCAGGAGAACCCCAAGATGCACAACTCGGAGATCAGCAAGCGCCTGGGCGCCGAGTGGAAGCTGCTCACCGAATCGGAGAAGCGGCCGTTCATCGACGAGGCGAAGCGCCTGCGCGCCATGCACATGAAGGAGCACCCAGACTACAAGTACCGGCCGAGGCGCAAGCCCAAGACGCTGCTCAAGAAGGACAAGTTCGCCTTCCCTGTGCCCTACGGCCTGGGCGGCGTGACCGACGCAGAGCACCCGGCACTCAAGGCGGGCGCCGGGCTGCACGCGGGCGCGGGTGGCGGCCTGGTGCCCGAGTCGCTGCTCGCCAACCCCGAGAAGGCGGC